TAGGCCAAAGTAAGTTTAAAGTAACAATGGTTGTCAATATAAGAAATTACTGGAATAATGTAGAATAGGTGAATTAAAGATTTGGTGGAATATTAATAGGTAGAGGAAAAAAAGGAAAAAAAACTACAAATAGAAATTCGAATGGTTTTGTTTTGGAAAAACCAAATAATTGAACTATATAAATAGATTATATAAATCGATAGATGGATTTCTTTGTTCCTACATCCTGTAAAGGATAACAGATATCTCTAAATTTTAATGGTAAAAAATTCAAAAGCAAACCCGAAATTTTGACTTGGGAGTCTTTATTTCATCATTTTTTGCTACTTTACGGACTTCCACATTACCATAATATACATCACTAACGAAAAGCCCCTAAACACAAAACGATACCACAACTTTTATCACCATATATATTAAAACCATAGACGTTTTCTAAAGACGGACGTCTTCGCTCCTCGAGGCCACGCTTTACGCATTCACAATAGCTCCTCCTTCATTAACAAAAATACCAAAACATGAAATCAACTTCACCACTAGAAAATATAATAAAAATTTATCATTGAGTGCACGTACCGTTAGGGTGAAGAACTTGACCGGTGAAGTACGACGAACAATGGTTACAAGCCAAGAAAACATAGGAAGGTGCAACCTCAATCGGCTGCCCCGCTCGTTTCATTGGAACCTCAGACCCGAAATTCTTGATCTTTTCCTCATCGAAAGAGGCCGGGATAAGAGGTGTCCATATCGGACCAGGCGCCACGCCATTGACACGGATTCCTTTCTCGGCGAGCTGAAGTGCAAGTCCTCGAGTAAATGCCACAATTGCTCCTTTTGTAGCCGTGTAGTCAAGAAGCGAGGCATTGCCCTTGTAGGCGTTCACTGATGTCGTGTTGATTATGCTGCTTCCTTCCTTCATATGCTTTAACGCATGCCTAACAATAAACAATATTAATCAATTATCAATGACACGCGCGACTTCATCAAAAGTAAAAAAAAAAAAAAATCACACGCTTTTAATTCACCTTGTGAGGAAGAAGTAAGAGAAAATGTTTGTACGGAAGACTCTCTCTAGCCTGGACTCATCAATCTCCTCGATTGAGCTCCTCTCATACTGCTCCGCTGCGTTGTTTATCAAGACATCGATGCGGCCAAACGCATTAACCACCTCGTCAACGACCCTCTTGCAGTTCTCGTCGAATCCTAAATCCGTTGGGATCGCCATGGGGTCCTTAGCCTCCGAGACTTTTGCCTCCTTCAACATTTGTAGCGTCTCTTGTGCATCTTTTTCCTCTTGACCTTTCACGTAAGTGAAAGCCACCGTGGCACCTTCAAGCGCAAAACAGTAACCCACGGCTCGACCAATCCCGGAGTCGCCCCCTGTTATCAACGCCACTTTCCCCTGTATATATAAATTTGCATGCATATTTGTTATATACAGTAACTTAAAACTAGAACATGGCACGTAAAAAATCCGAAACGAACTATACCCAAAAAATATAAACGCATAAGTGTGCCTAAAACTTTTAAGTTCTTTAAATTAAAACTTAAAAACTCGATACGAGATCAAAATCGTAAATATATTTAACCGCATCATATCTAATAATGCAAATATTAATTCAGGAAATGAGGTTTAGCACGTAAAACATCATTGGATCGGTGAGTGATGACTACAACAATTTTTCTGTAACATTGATGAAACATATGGTATTGAAAATAATTACACGAAGCTTGTCGGAGGGTTTGTAGTCTGAGCTAGAGAATTGTGGAGTGGGGTCCATGACGTGTTCTTTGCCAGGTTGCGCATGTTGTTTTTCACGTTCAGACGCCATTGCTCTTACGCACACAAGGTGAGATAATATTCTATTTCTTTCCCTCTTTCTAGGTAGAGCTTTGTGTGGAAGTTGAAAAAACGAAAGCGTAACGATTGATGATAAGACTCTCGAATGAGTGACCAGTCTACAAAACCCGTTCGTGGCCATATATATATATATATGCGCACATATCTACACGCTACTTGGAAGCAGCATATATCTCTGAATGATACGCCACGTGGCAGACTAAGAAGCCTGACGAGGATACACGTGTTTGTGAATGGGTCGGATTTGTGGTAAACGGTGATCCGTGTGACATGGACAAAACCAGTTTTCCTCCAAATTTACCTAAAATCAAGAAAGTTACAAAATATGATCGGATAATTATAATTCATATATGTTCTCTTTTTCCCTAATGTTTTTAATTGTTGTGCATGCCTGACGCGTGACGAGGATGCGAATGAATACACGTCGTCTTTTGGCAAAACGAAGCCTCCTCTGTGCCAAGTGTTTACGACTATAACAAATCTTATCAGAAAAGAGATATTCTAGATCTGATTTTATAAACAAATAGGGTACAAGATTAATCTTCATCTCCAACCTCTACTCTATTACCTGTATAATAAGAATAGTGAAGCGTATTAATGGTCTTCATTTCCAAGATGTCTCTATCTTTCTACATCATTCATCTTCTCATCCTGTCCTCGGTTTCCACTTATGTTATCTGCAACCGTATACGCACCACTCTTTCTCTCTCTATTTAATTAGTGTAAATACATTATGCTTGGAATGAATATTAATGTGCTATATATCTTAATTTTTTTCTATTTCTATACATGTTTAAACGATTAGCTACAATAGTCACATAACTGTTTTACTCAATTTGGATGCAATTGTTCTTATGATCTCATTTTCATAGATTGTTTTTGCTGCCTTGTGATATTGTAGAGGAGGAGGATAATCTTCTTCAAGGCCTAAACAGCTACCGAACTGCTCAAAGGGTTCCACCTTTTGCGAAGAACGACAAGGCTGATTGTGTGGCCGATGAGATCGCCGACAAGCTCGAAGGTGAGCCATGCACAAACCACACCACAGGAACCACGGTTACTCCTGGGTCAGTCCCTCCACGGTTATCAAACTACCAAGATATTCTCTCGGAGTGCAAGGTTGACCCAAACAATACCCGTGACGGATTGATCTTACCCGTTTGTATCCCTAACAGGGTCCCTACGCTAGCTCTAACTAATTACACCCAAACAGGGTATGCACGGTATTTGAATGATTCGAGGTATGTCGGGGCTGGTGTTGGGTCAGAGAAAGAGTGGATGGTAGTTGTGCTGACAACGAGCACTCCAGGTGGAAGCTTTGCCAGTGGTGAGGCCACGTCGGTGAGAGAGATAGCTGGGTTTGGTCTCATGGGGTTGTTGTTTAGTTGCCTTATGCTCTTGTGAGCTAATGATGTATGTACATTTGTGAGCTAATGATGTATGTGTACTGTGAGAAGACTCTTGTATCTTGTATGCTTGTTTTCAACTGGGCGGGTCAAGAAACAAAATAACTATCGTAATCAACAACTATATAGCATAATTACAAAGTAGCCTAGATAGTGAAAATGTGATGAAGTTTGCACAAACAATAAAAATACTAACCATGCAAATGGTAGGAACAAGAGACAGTGAAGGAGCATTGGTTGTTCCTTTGCAGGCCGGCCTTCGGCTAAGCCTATGTTGGTGTTTTAAAATTCAAAAATTAGTTCATGCAGGTTTAAGTTCAGTTTCAGTATAAATTAATGGGTTAGATTTCTTTTGGGTTTAGGCATAAAAGAGTTTCCGGCCTGACCATGCTCCCATGTCAATAGGGAGTGAGTGGATTTGAGTGTTTGATGAAGTCCAACAGATGTTTCAACCGATTTCTTAAGGGAAGTGACCGTCTCCTTCGTGCAGACAATTTTTTATTTTTTGCAAATCGAAGTACATAAACATTTTCGATACAACTGTTAACATGAAAGAGAGGAGGGGAGTAACCAATCTATATAGAGTATATAAAAAAATCTTCAAAATTTGACGATATTACTAAATATTTTGAGATTTTGAGTTGCCAATTTATCCCCCTTTACACACGGGAGTAAAAAAACAGTTCTGTTGGATACATCCAACAGTTCGTATTTGGTGAAAGAATCAAAGCCATCAGAAAATACGAACTTGATAACTGTAGAAAAAGTGGACTTGGGGTGAAACACGTTATGTGGTCTACAACATGCTCAACATATAATGTAAGATCAAAGTACTGATTTTTCAAGAAACAAAAAGGGTATGCGGTGCACTATATTATCTGCAATCTTTTTGATGAGCCAAATTATCAGGTTTAAAATCAATTACTTGGATGTTTTTATGAAGATGCATAGCATACAGCATTAACTAATGTCAATGTTTCCAATTGCAACACAGTTGTTTAGCTTACAACAAATGGAAAATCCTACATACCATCTTTTCTAGCTTACTTTAAACTTACCAAAACCATCTATGTTCACTCTTCGTAGTACAGCTTCTTCACTACGCCCTCAAGAACACCATCTGACCCAAAATTACCGTTGAATTCTTCATTGCTCACAGGACCCGGAAGCTGGAAAGAGATGGTGAAGTGGCCTGGAGGGCATAAGTTCTGTGTCAGCATCGTGAAGATCTGATTGTGTTTGCAGACTGTCTTCTCCCCCGTCGTTGTTGCTCCCTTTATCAGAATCTTACCGTCTGGTTCTATTTCGCAGCTGAAGTCCTCTGTACGTTTAACATGTCAGAAGATTCAGCAGAAAACAGGTAAAAGCGCAGGACACAAAGTTAGAAGCACCTCATGAACGCATTTGACCCGTGTGCAATGGAAATAATTGAGTATACATAATTGTAATAAAAGATCTAAACTTCTCAAAACTACGTATTTTTCAACTAGCGCAAGTAGTTTTCTGTTCTGAAATCTTTCATAAGATTTGAACTTAGCATTGAACAGCAAAAAGTAAGTCTAGAAACAATAATTTGGCATACCAATTGGAAACTTCACAATGATATGGAAAGGTTTGAGACTTACTTTCATCTCTTGAAACACCAGGCAGTGAAACACGGAAATAGTATGCGTCATCGGACTCAGCAATATCCACCAAACCAATCGTTGGTCCAATCTTTCCCATGGCTGCACTTCCCGTGAGGGCAACTCCTGTTTTTGTTTGAGTGATTAAGTTATCAAACTCTGGAGTTGATTTAGAAGGCATAAATATCATTGCCGGCTCTCCTTTCTCTGTATTCTCATTCTCCCTGTTAACTGGCATGGATGTATGACCAGCTATTGGACCGGTGTAGGGTAAACTGTTCAATGGAGCCACTTCAAGAACTTGCTGGTTCCTTGTGTTTTCGGGGAAGCCGTTGTTCTGCCTCATCCCCTTTTGAGCACTTGAAGACCTGAAGCACAAAATTTCATTTTATCACACACATTCTTGCTAACTACATAGATTAGTATATAAGATTATATCCAAAGTATCAATCAATACACGATTATATGAGATTTCAAGTTAAAACTTTAAACACTCTCTTCACTATGGAGAGAGTGCAAAAGGAATTATGCAAGAACCCAATAAAAGTCTAAATCTTGAGATAAGAAACCCTAACCGAACAAATTCCGAATCGTTCTCACTAAGCATAGAATGAGAGAAACCAAAATCTCAGTAAAAAAGAAGCAAATTTCAAGGCGGTGGCAATGGAAGCTAAATCATCATCAAAAACAAAAATTACATCAAGGATTGCGAATGTGCGATTGCTTTCGCAAACCCAAATCGGAGAAACGGTAAAGAATTCATTTTTATTTCTTATCACGGCAAAGAATCCGCCGACTGGAATCGGGGATTGAAGGAATTGAAGTATTACAATGATTTTAGGCAAAATCGAAGCTTTAGACCGAAGAAATCAGTCTGAAACAGTCGGAGAGAAAAAAGAAAGGACATGAGAAGAGAGAAAGAGGAGAAACTTACCGGAGATGAACGGATAGTCGATTTGTGCCACCGTTTTTTGCTTTTTTTGCCTTTTCTTGTTCTCCA